CCATGATATCCACCTCCAAATCCTTGCGCATCAAGAATCCAAATCTTTGCACATCAAAATCCAAAGCCATCAACCTGCTCCAAAACCAGCGACCACCTAGAAAGTTACCAACTACCAAATCCTTGCGCATGGGAATTCAAAGCCAACCTGCAATTCCGTTACCAATCCGCAAAAAAGAGTGTTATGGGTTTTTTATTTTTTTGATTTTTTTATGGATGTAATCAACAAAGAGATAATTTTTTGGAATTTTTTATGGATGTAATCAACGAAGAGATAATTTTTAAACTTTTTTATGGATGTAATCAACAAAGAGATAAGAAAAAGAATAAAAACGAAAAAAAGAGATAGAAAGGAAAATCTTCTAAAGAGAGATGTTCCGAAGGCAAAAATTCATACAAGGAAAAAAAACTTGACCCTAAATCTGACGGCCTTAGTTGTGTAATAAAAAATTTATTAAAAGCATTCAATAAAAGAGGTAAAATTGAAACAAAACGTTGAATACCATTGCTAAGTTGAAGAGGCCCACATTTATTTTTCACAACGAAGGAAATCCTGATTAAATTAAAACCACATATCCTAATAATTAGGTCCGACTGAATAGAACAAGTGAAACAGAAAGACATACCATATGGATTACAGTACAAAATGTTGATGAAACAGAAGTATTCAACTGACAACAACTTGAATCTAACAGCGTTACGATAATCCCACACCTAATATTGATGTAGAGTAGAGATACCAAACTCCAATTAACACATATGAGCAATTGAAAAAAGTATCAGAAAAATGTACCAAGTAACCCCCTGTTTTTAATGTCCAGAAATTCAGAATGTTATTGCCGTCGGGATTGTAAGTCAAGATGATTCACCTGCATGCAAGCTTGCTTAAGTATTTTAACCGTTTTCAGAACTGTAGAAAAAAACAGAACAAGCTTATGTTCATCTATGCAACATTTTGTTGCCCCAATTTTCTGATTCTTGCAAGTTATGTGGCTTAGTTATGAAGTTTTGTCATCTTTGCTACCTAAGATCGCTGTTACATGATCTGCAAGGGGTTGTTAGAATGATGCCTAGAAGTTTCAAATACCGATGATGTTTGCGACATACATTTATTTATATATTCTTTTCTCTCTCTTATTTTTTATTCTAGAGAGTAGAGATCATTTGATATTGTTTATAAATATTTTACAGAATAAGATTCCTGTCTTCTGCCCTGGCATTACAGATGGTTCATTAGGGGATATGTTGTATTTTCATTCATATTACAACCCGGGTTTGATAATAGATGTAGTGCAAGGTTGGTGCTCTCTGTTTCAGCATTATTGCATGCAAATGTTTAGTAGGCTTAGATATAAAACTAGAACTAGAG